TAGAGGGTTGAGGTGGCTCTGGGTCACCAGTAGCAGTAGAGCTATCATGACTAGAGCTGGTTGATGGATGAGCTGGTTCTAGTTGTCTTGCACCAGTGGAGGTGGCATGTCTGGAAGTGGAAGGAAACACATCATGATTGGAGCTCATAGAAGAATCTGTGTTTTAAAATCTTCATCAGCAAATACTTCAGTGTTATAAGGCCATATGCCAGTGCACTTGAAACCATTAAATGCTTTTGCCATGGTTGATGTTTGCTGATAAGCATATCCGAGAAGCTAGACAGTCTGTACTTGCTGTCTGTGATGTCTTGCTGAATGGATGGTCACAATAATTTTGTTCTGCTAGTGTGAAAGCGTACTTTCTAATACTTCGAGGCGACATTCCATAGAATACCTGCTGCATGTCCAAGTACGTCTGACCCTAATTAAACACTCTTCGAACTCCACCTAAATGAACAATGGCTTGTACTTTTCCCTGGTAATGTCGCTTCAGAGATGATCTTGGGGAGTCCAAAGTCATGTGAGGAAGCTTTCGAGCATGTAATACTCTGGATTCAATAATCCAGAGTATATATATATATATATATATATATATATATATATATATATATATATATATATAAACTACCGGGCAAAAGAAAGTTTTCACTTTAAAAATAGTTGTATAAAAAGCAAAAAGCTGGTACAGGTTTGAACCCCCGCAGAAAACATTCGCCCAAATGCAACATGACCACAACCACAACGCAGATTTTCGAACGCAGCTTTCTAAATCATGCATTGTTGAAAACGTGCAAAACGTGATTTTGAGACATTGGTCCAAATGCACGTGCGTGATTGTGGCATGAATACCGACGTTGGACAGAGCAGGCATTCAGTAAGCAAAAAAACACCAAGAATATGCCCAGACTTACACAAGCGCAACGAGACAGAGCAATTGGTATGGCAAATATGGGGGCTACTCACAGTCAGATAGTCAAAACCTTCAACTGCTCCCAGACCACCATCAGCAAGTTGATAATCCGCTACCAACAGACAGGACAGACTCGGCCAAGATCTGGAAGACCGAGAGTGACAACACCGGCCGAAGACCGCTATTACCGGCAGAGTCACCTCCGAAACAGATGTGTGACGGCGACGTCAACGGCGGCAACAGCACTTGGGCATGCCATCAGCAGAGGAACAGTCCTTCGAAGACTTCGTACGGCTGGTATACGAGCCTACCGACCCTTCCGTGGAATGGCCTTGACCCGTTTACATCTTTAACGCAGACTGCAATGGGAACGAACTGTACATCGGTGGCAGCGACGTGACTGGGCGAGAGTGCTCTTTACAGATGAAAGTTGGTTCTGTCTGTTCAGGAACGATGGCAGAGTTCGGGTTTTTCGACGAAGGCCAGATTACAACACGGCTGGTTATCATCCGAGGAAACCTGAATGCTCAGCGATACAGGGATGAAGTTTTAAGACCTGTTGTCGGCATTACAGTGCATTTTCATTCTAATTCATGGAAAATGATTTCTGTTTATAAATTAATCATCATAAATCTCACATATGCCTTTGTTTTTGGTGTTTGGTCAAGTGAAGTCGGTGAAAACTTTCTTTTGCCCGGTAGTATATATTGTATACATATTGTATACATATTGCATACATGCATACATACATACATACAGAGAGACATTTTGTCAGTGGTTCTGGCAAGCTCAGGGATTGCTCAGCACATCGAAAACAGACAGGGGATTATCAATTCTCCACACTCGTGTGTACAGATCACACGAAGCAGTGCTTCTTTCGCTTTGTCACCAAAGTAAGTTGGCGAGCTAACAATGTTTATAAATTCTGAAACCAAAGTAGTGCTCTTTTAAAAAAGACTATACTGTCAGAACACACGTGGATGTGGTGCACATTGGCACAGTGTTACATGGCAGACACCATCTTCCGAAGATATCAAATACTTGTTTCCCCTCTTGCCACATCAAACCCACTTTCTCGTGCTAAATATGATTGGACTATCGCACATATCGATTGTCCAATTAAAGAACGTTTCACAAAATCAACATCCATGACTGGTACACCTGCATATGAATGTGATTTATCGCTGCCTGTCTTTGATGACACGAATGTGTCTTTTCCATCTTTTAAACCCCCAAATGAGTACCTAAGTTTTTGTGTCAGGGATGAAAACGCGATTGTTTCATTATCTAAACGACTAGGTCGTTGCCTATGGTTGGCGCCATCTTTGTGCTTATCTTAACGGGATCGGATGGTCAGGCTCGCTGACTTGGTTGATGCATGTAATCGATCCCAATTGTGTGGATCGATGCTCATGATAGCAATCGCTGGATTGTCTGGTCAAGACTCGATTATTTACAGACCGCCGTCATATAGCTGGAATATTGCTGAGTCCGGCGTAAAACGACAAACCAACCAACTTGGTGAAACTATAGGAGATAACAGCAATCTGATTGGATATCACGTTTTCATTACAAGGGGCACAACTCTTGATCTACGCGAGGTGGGGCAAGGGTCGAGCCAAGAAAAGTGGCCTTGATGTGGCAAGTGTAGAAACTTGGCTTTGATATAGGCTAGTGGACATGCTTGCCTCGGGAAGATGGGCAGATACTACTTGATTATTGATATATTGCACGGTAAAATCAGTTCCCTTTGAAATCAGAAAAATATATATATTTACTGAAAAATAATGCGAACATCAAATACGAAAAATATCTAAATTTATGCCTAGTCCCGTTTCGTGCATTCCTTGAGATGTGCGGGGGTGCGGGGGTACAAACATTATTTTAAAACATTTCAGCATAAATGTCAGCTTTCAATGGTCACTCTCCCCAATGTGCCACTGATTCTTTCTCATGCCTGGAGCTGACATTTCGAACTCTCTGGGGCGTGTCACATAGTGTGAGGGCCAGTCCAACTTTCATACAGTTTGGCCCTCACTCTATGAAGGTTTCTAATCGAATGAACTCACACAAAGTGAAAGTCAATTCTTAAACAATTTCATCATAAGTGAGCTACAGAGCCTTGTCTACTGTGTAAAGTTTGTGGTCTGGTACTTATAAACTCACACGCAAAAGAAACGCAAAAGAAACGCAAGTCGAGTATGCAGTATACATGTTATGTATTTTCAACAGTAAAGACAAGAAATACTAATAGGGCAAGATTGACATAAATTTGACTGAAGACAGTTTAATGGATTAAAAGGCAGATGACATAATTGTTTTTTTCCAAATGTTAAGGGCTTACACAGTTTCGGGTCAATACCCAAAATGTCAGTCAATACCTGGTGTGACCACCATTAGCATTGATCACTGCCACACATCTCCTGTACATTGAGTGGATCAGATGATTTGTGAAGGCCCTGTTAGCTCAGGCAACATGGGGATGAGCATTGTCCTGCTGGAAAATGTGTTGTTGATGTTGTGCAAAAAATGGAACATCGTGGGGTCTGATCACTTGGTCGATATACCGCTGAGCAGTGACGCTGCGTCCCCAACCTTGACCAACATTCAGAAAGCACATGGGTCCAAGTCTCGCATTAAGTCCAATCCCTGCCCATATCATGATGCTAGGTCCACCCCATGGATCCCTTTCCACAACATTTCTGTAAGCGAAACGATCACCTCGACGCCACCAAATTCTGACTCTTACGTCTGCATGGGTGACACAAAAGCGACTTTCATCAGAGAAGATGACACACCTCCACTCACGATGACGCCAACTGTGATGACCCTGTGCCCACTGAAGTCGTGCTTGTCGATGCCGTGGTTGGAGAACAGGACGACATGCTGGTCGGCGACATCTGAGGTTGTTGGAACGGAGACGTCGGATCACAGTGTCCTGGCTAATGTGTCGATTATGTGTTCCTATGGTCTGTCGAGCACTTTCACTTGCAGTTAGGAACAGATGTCGCTGGTGTTGACGGGTAATCTGCCGATCTTGTCGAGGTGTGGTGACCCTAGGACGACTGCTCCGAGGAAGGTCATCTGTGGCCTGTGTAGCATTGTATCGATGCAGGAGACGGTAAATTGTGGTTATGTTAACGTTGAAATGACGGGCAACATCTTGGACAGACTGTCCAGCGTCCAAACGTCTGATAGCCTGGTTTCTCTGAATTTGAGTTAGGCGTGGTATGGTTGACCAAGAAGTGGTAGATCCAAGAATCGGCCACAGTTTTATACCCACTACAGTTCGTGCATGTTCGATTTCGCGAGAAATGGGTGCATGATACCCACATATTCATTGAAATGTAGTGTTTTGGCGATTCGTTTTTTATGTTGCGTTTTTACTCGGGGCTTCCAAAATGCAACCAAAAATATTGATAACACCATCAGGCTTCACTACATGCTAAAACTCGTATCAATTTATGGTTCCTTGTTTGTTACCTATTTGCTTAAAACCACTTGCGTTTCTTTTGCGTGTGAGTATACTTTGAAATGTCACATTTAAATTTGAAATATTGTGGCAGAATGGCCTGGCTCACTTGCCACAATATTTCAGTTTGGGGAAATGACAATATGAATAGCCACATATTTTGACTAATTATAAGAATGTTTTGTCTTGAACTGAATTATGAACATGATGCACTGCCATGTGGAGTGTCTATTCCACCCTTCTGCAGGCATCTTTAGTTTTAATGCTTATTGTGTAAACATGGTAAATGTCTGTTTATCATGACATTTACATGAGCCAATGTCTTTAATACTACCCTTTATCAGCTGACGAATGTCAACAAGTATTCATCAATGATGTCCTTAATTGTGTTTGATATTTTTATGTTAATTATTACAGTAAGGTTTCACTGGGCCATTCATTATACTTTGGGATAATGAAAGATTCTGTAACATATGTGTTTACATCTCATAAATGATACAAGCAATGATGTCCTCTGGAAGTAGAATGTCATATGATCTTCTGTAAGTCATTATATGATCTTTAACCTTGAAGTTCAATTAAGCAGTAGAGCCTTACAGATTTATTTATTTTTTTCAGGATGCATCGCAGTTGAAATAGCACTGAAAGAAGGTAGTCATCTGCATGATGAAAACAACAAAGAAATCATTTGTGGTGCTGTTAACCTATGTATCACTGTTGACACCAGCTGCAAGTATGGACCCTGTCCTCGCAAATATCCAGTCTCCTGACTCAGTAGGAAACTCTATTGATGACCATGGTAATATAACATGGGCTGACATTCCACAAGGAGAACCATATAAGGCTGATGCTGAATACAGTGATGGAGGAATGGGTCCACTATTTGACTTTTCCAGGAGTTTTATCAATACATGCCTTCAAAAGGGATTTCCTTACGGTAAGTCTTGTTTGAGATTTGATTTTGCAGAATCAGGGAACATTGATACGTGGAGTCTCTTTTTTGCAGGGCCTTACCAGGACCTCAGTCGTTTTGCCAAGACTTAGCTGCAGGTCTCTGTCAGATGATTTACAAGGTTCGGATAGACTGCAAAGGCATTGAACTAGGCCATCTGGCAGTCTTTTTGGTCATGCTGGAGCTATCAGTATGATCATGCAATCAGTGTCCTCTATTTTCCTCAGAACTCTGTCCAGGAGACACCTAGGGTGGAATGCGTAGGCAAACATTCCTTCCCCGCTCATGGATAGTGCATTGACCTCGATGGCTAATGGGTCTGGTACTGGGCTGACATACACAAGAAGCCTGTTTTTGGAGGCGAATAGATCGAGATGTGGGAGGTTATCCACTTGAATATCTACGGATGGAGGACCTTTGTTCTTCCAGGACAGGCAATCTGCAAGTGTGTGACGTGCTTCCATCCTGCAACTCATCGAGTCTGCCAAGGCAAACCAAATAAATTTGTAACTTATTTCAACAAAAGCTGAGAGTGAGACCTTGTGCCCCCTTGATGCAGTATGTATGCTACCACTGTGGTTTTGTCTATCGTGATCAGCACTGAAGACTGAAGTAGCCAAATTTGCCATATTTGGAAATAGCTTGAAATATCGCTCTATTTTCCAGACAGTTTAAATGCATCTTCCTGTCTTATGTAGACATTTCTCCTGTACTCTGATGTCATGCTAAGGAGCGAACCTTCCTCCGACTGATGTGTCCATGTAAAAGTGATGTAGAGGGACGGGGAATATGAGAGGTATACCTGGCATGACATTGTTGTTCTGACAGCTGAGCTTGTGGGAGTTGAGTTAGTTCGTCTAAACCAAGCTCTTTGATTTGTGTTCATCCTGCAGCCTGCCTCTTTTGGTTAGATCTTGGAGGGATGTAAGGCTGCCTTGGCATCACATCCACCAATGATGGGATGATCGTGTACAGTTAAAGGGACACTGATCTACCACATTTCCCTGGGTCTGGTTGTTGCCTTTGTTATTGTTTTTTCCCTGTGAGTACCAGGAATCTGTACTATTTTTCGCGATAAACAAAATGAAATACTGGTTTGCCTTGGAAATAATAATGAGGTAATGTAGGTATATTTGGAAATGGCATCAGTTATGGTGACCAAGTTTTGATAGTCACTTGCTTGTATTGTTTGTTATTCGTTTACCATATTTTTACTTGTAACACAAACTAAATATTTCACCTGAACATTGCTTATTTTTCATGAGTACATGTTATAGTCACTGTGTAAAATGTAAGAAATATATAATTTTCACTTAGGCAATGTTAAAAAATGCCTAAATATTCAGTTATTATCCCCCGCCACAAAGTGGAAGGGGGATATAGGAATGGGTGCTGTCCGTCCGACCGTCCAGCCGTCCGTCTGTCCTTCCTTCCTTCCGTCCGTCCTTCCGTCCGTCCGTCACATTTCGTTTCGGGAGCAGATCTTGAAAACCGTACCATATTTCTTCACCAAACTTGCCACATAGATAGATCTAGTTGTGAACTGGTGTCTTTTGATAGTTTGGGATTTTAAAAAAATAAAAAAATTCAAGTTTCAATGGCAACCAAATTTGGCAGATAATGTCATCTCACAGTATTGAATACATTTCCTTTTCTTGTTGGTAAGTTCTGGATTGCTTGAGTGTATGTTCCTCCAAAAGTGTCATGGACACAGTCGTTGCATTCACTGACTAACTTCATGCAGAAACACAACTCATTACAAATACAACAGTGTAACTGATCTTTAACCTACTCAAGTGTATAAACACTATATAGTCTTGTCAACCATACTCTGTACTTCACTTGCCTGATAAGGGTGTTAGAACCTACACTGAAACCATCGCTCCTAATTGTAATAAAGAAGTTGTTCGTCCATATGTCTCATCCTTACTCATTACAAATACAGTAACATATTCTATCATAAACTGCAGATGGCAAAACAACACCAGTAATAACTTTTTTAGTGCTGCAATTAGGCCATTACTAAAAGGTCCAGTGAACATAGTTCCCAGGAGCTAATGCATTGCACACAACTGGACATGTCATATTTCATGCTTATTGTACAAACATGATGGATGGAGACAATTCTCAAAAAGTTTGGAAGCATTTCATGCAGTGGACCCGGAGTTTTTTGCGTTTGAAGACAGTTGCCCAAAAGACAATGTGAAAACTTTGAATCCAATATGGCCGCAACTAAAAAAGATATCCAAAATGGGCTATTAACATTTGATGTGTTATGTATGGAGACAATTATCAGAAAGTTTGAAAGCATTTCATGCAGTGGACTCGGAGTTATTTGCGTTTGAAGACAGGTGCCCCCAAAACACTGAAAACCTTGAATCCAATATGGCTGCCAAACCAGGGTGACCAATGACCAAAGTCAAACAACAAAAAATGAGGTACATATGGCACACTAACTTCATGTAAACTATCAATAGTTACTGTGGAGAACCTTACAAGATATGATCTTTAAAGTAAAATGTCGGTGAAAAAAAATGATCAAAATCAAAATCCAATATGGCTGCAACTAAAACAGATATCCAAAATCGGCTATAATTGTTTGATGTGTTATGTATGGAGACAATTATCAGAAAGTTTGAAAGGATTTCATGCCGTTGACTCAAAGTTGTTTGCCATGGAGACAGGTACCCAAAAGACACTGAAAACCTTGAATCCAATATGGCTGCCAAACCAGGGTGACCAATGACCAAAGTCAAAGAACAAAAAATGTCAAGCAGCTCACGCAGCAGATACATGCAAGGTTTCAAAGTAATTGGGTAAGCGGTTGCGGAGCAATAGGGCGGAATACATCTTCAAAAAATTCTTGTATATTAGTTATCTGCCCTTAGCCTTTGGGCCTACGGCTTTGGGATTTTGGCGGAATCTAGTATTCACCGGTCTTCACACACATACAAAATTTGAACCAAATCAAGCCAGTGGTTCTTTTGCTAGCTCTGGTACAAAAATCGGCGGAATAATAATAGTATTAAATCAAACGATTACACTGGGGCTCTTCAGCCTTTCGGCTTGGTGACTCTTTAACAGGCTGTAACTTCTTTGTCAGTTGGGCTCCAGTCAAACGAATTAGCGTTCTGCGTTCGTCCGGGCCCCGGGTTCCTGTCGCATTGCTGAGATAAATTGCTAAACCTGTTTCCGACCTCATTCATATTCAAATCCTCAAAGGGTTTACCTGTACCAACGCCGTCAAATGTAAGGAACCTCTTGTGAGACATCACCACTACTAAATTGACATGTGCCTGGGTGTCCCATGATGTTTTAACCAAATTCCAACTTAGACCATGTTCGAATCTTCAAATGGTTTGCTTGTACCAATGCCATCAAATGTAATAAACCGCTTGTGAGACATCACCACATGTCCCAGTGTTTTCTTAACCCATGTTTGACTTCGACCATGTTAGAATCCGCATATGGTTTGCTTGTACCAACTCCGTCAAAAGATAGTGACCATTTGCAGGACATCACCGCTACGAAATTGGCGTGTGCCAGAGTTAACCAGAGTGTTCTAAACCCATTTACCACCCAGACAATGTTCGAATCCTGATAATCGGCTCTTAAGACAAGCATGGGTTGCTGAAGACCAAATCTCACCCTCATCTTCAAGGGTAGTAAACATACTGCAAAAGACACTTGACAGTGAAAGGGAGATAATCCTAGGTTTTCTGAGCAATGTATTCGGTATTTTGTCAATATTACCACGAAGCAGTGTTACTTTTAGCATGCAACCAAGAACAAAAGATGAGGTACATATGGCACACTAACTTCATGTAAACTTTCAATAGTTTCTGTGGAGAACCTTACAAGATATGATCTTTAAAGTAAAATTTCGGTGACAAAAATGATCAAAATCAAAATCCAATATTTCCGCAACTAAAAAGATATCCAAAATCGGCTATTACCGTTTGATGTGTTATGTATGGAGACAATTATCAGAGAGTTTGAAAGCATTTCATGCAATGGACTCAGAGTTATTTGCGTTTGAAGACAGGTACTCAAAAAACACTGTGAAAACCTTGAATCCAATATGGCTGCCAAACCACGTGACCAATGACCAAAATCAAGAAAGAGAAATGAGGTACATATGGCACACTAACTTCATGTAAACTATCAATAGTTTCTGTGGAGAACCTTACAAGATATGATCTTGACTTAGCAAGTTTGCACTTCACATCATAGAGGATGGTCTTACCAGGCAGTTAGAATGTGTCATGTGGTATATTGCGCGGCACTTCTCTTGTGGTTGTGACATGTTAGCATGAAACCCTTTATAACCAGGCACTTGCTGTTCTTCTGGCTTTGGTCTTGAGAGGTCATCTTGGGCCCTGGCCAGTGCATGAATAACACCACGTGTCCTCTGAGTAGATGTGTCCAAAAGAATACTGTTGTTTTCTGTCTCTGCCCTGATGGGTGGCTCTCCACGCTTAACTGTTTTGTATGGATCAATCTTCTGCATTTCACTTCCAAGTTCCTTGAGAGAGGCAGAGAGATTAGGCCAGTTTTGCACTGGGAACTGGACGAGTTTCATGACTCTCCAACGGTTCCGAATCAAAAGATTCTGGTTGAACAAACATCACGTTAGTGTGGTGAGGTTGATCAGCACCAGTGGGTGTCACTCTTGAAGTCATCATTGTCTACAACAGGTTTGCCTTCAGCAAGCTCGAAAGAACGATTCAATGAATGCTTTAGGTCAGTCGCTACCCAGAAATCCCGCAGCATAAGAACATCATTGTAGCTGATGCCCAAACCATCTTTGTGCATTACATCAATGATCTCCCTACTTTTTGTCAGTCCATGTAGCATGACTGACATATTTGTCTCAAATGCAGTGTGTTTTCCGGTGATGTAATTTGTGATGACAGAAGCTATTGAACGGCCAGTTGGACAATCATCAATGACAGCCATCTTTGAATGCTTCATCCAGGTGATCAGCTTCAATAGAAGTTCACTCAGTTCCTTCTTCTCTCTCCAGTTCATGGATGTATGAAGGCCAGGGGACAGTCTTAGTGCTTATGACTTGCTCCTTGAGTCGTGCTGCAACATTCATAGCTAGCTGATCATTGCTGACACCAAGTGACTATATTGCAGCCTCAACATATGTTCCTCCTACTGTGGTATCACAGACCAGTTCACTCTGATTCTTCTGATTGCGTTCATGAAATCCAATGCTTTCACCAAATTCTTTGATCAGATGTTCTTTTAAGTAGCTTGATTTAACTATTGAATTATGCCCAAAATTTGAGATGATGCGCCTGTAATCATTCAGGAGACTTTGTACGGTACGGAATTCATGATCTTTGGAAATTACTTGATGAACATGATTGAAGAAAATACTCTGGCTTCTCGAAGGTTCACCCGCTGGAGATGCCGAGCACTTTCATCAGTGATATCCTTATGGTCACTGTGATACTTTCGCCAGCATCCACAATGATACCGTATTTCAATTCCAAATGCTGTTTCAGCATCTGGGATAGAATCTATTAAAGTGTTGAGTCTCTCTCTCATGGTTCCATCATCCAGATGGATGGTGTGAAGCTTAAACCTTCTCCAGGCATCTTTTGTTGAGTGCAGAATTAGCTGCTTGTCACGATCCTTCCATACTCAACAACAAAAGTTGCTGTGACACCAATATTTTAGTGTATTTTTCAAACAAGTAAAGTTTGGTTTTCAATATTGTAGTACATGTATGGAATCAAGTCACAAACATGCAACTGCTACAGAAAAGCATGCATTCCATGCAAAAGTTGACTTTTATGCAAGCCCCATCCAATTCACTACCCAAGAATGGGTATAAAAACATGTGCGTTAACGGGATTCCATATGCATTGTTTAGCATCCTGCTGACAACAACCACTCAGAAAAACAACAAAATTACGCAATTATTCAACATTACTAAATGCCACACCTGTCTGCAGGCCATTGGTATGCTTGAAGCAGGATCGAGTCAACGTGATGTTGCAAGACAATTGGACGGATTCAAGTGTACCGACATAGAGGTGAACGTTACGTCAATCCTTGTGTCATGGAAGAAGATCGGTTTGGGGGTGGCAGCGTTATGGTATGGGGTAGGATTACAGCAAGACAGATGACCTTTTTGATAGTGGTAGAGGGAAATCTCTACGGACAGCCGTACCGCGGCAAGATCATCGGCCCTGTTGTTCTACTGTTTTTGCGTCGTCATGGCCCAGGCATTACCTTTCAACATGAAATGCCGCGCCTGTCCGAAAATGAGTGTCTGCAAGCCATTGGTATGCTTGAAGCAGGATCGATTCAACGTGATGTTGCAAGACAATTTAACGTCCACAGAAACACCATTCAGATTCAAGTGTACCAACGTAGAGGTAAACGTTACATCAATCATTGTGGTATGGGGTGGGATTACAGCAGGACAGAGGACCCGTTTGATAGTGGTAGAGGGAAATCTCTATGGACAGCGGTACCGCGGCAAGATCATCGGCCCTGTTGTTCTACTGTTTTTGCGTCGTCATGGCCCAGGCATTACCTTTCAACATGACAACGCCCGGCCTCATATGGCTTGACTTGTTCGGGATTCTCTTCAACAAAACAACGTGAATGTCATCCCCTGGCCGGCTCGCTCCCCTGATCTCTCACCAATTGAGCACATGTGGGATGAGATGGATCGGCCCCTTCGACGCCAACCACGTGTTCCACAGACACTCCAGGAACTTCGAAACATGCTCCAGCAGATATGGACAGATATCCCACAGGACTTTGTGCGACACCTGGTCAATTCCATGAGACTAAGAGGTGGACACACACGCTATTGATTTGTAAATTGACATTTTGGCATGTTCATGGTTTTTATGAAATCACGCATTTTCTGAAGTCAGTATGGCAAATTAAACCATTTGAACACTTATAGGAGTCTTTTATCTGTTGCAAACCGAAATTGTTTCAGATTTGGTAAAAAAACATAATTTTGCATTAAATCTTATTCAGTGTCGCAGGAACTTTTGTTGTTCAGTATATTTGGGGTTTGGCTTCTTTCATGCACCAAATGCAGCGTTCCTTGTTATGAAGGCAACCAATACTGGAACGTTGTTTTTTTGGTGCCTGTGGGACTAGATCATCTGAGTCTTCCACTCTGCACATGCTTTGTTAAGATTTTGACAAGTGGTTCTGAGAGTGCAAGAGCTTGCTGCCACTGGATTATGTCACATAACAAGAATTATGCATGTCTACTGTGCCACCAACATTTCCAAATTTTTCCAGTCCTTCACATTTTGTGGCCTTTTCTTTCATGGTATTCCATTTAGCCGGAGTCATATTGTCAATATTGTCACCTTCAGGGCAGGCATTCTCACAGCATACAGAAGAATGATTTTTGTTTCCGCTTTAATGGAGCACAATCATAACTTCTGCTAGGTCCATCATCTGCCTCTGCCATTTTAATGGATATGGAAGAGGAAGATCTACGGGATCACTATTACCACTACAAAAGCTTTATTTAGATCTATTACTACAATGCAGTGACTAATAGGCACCTGATACCGAATCAAATATAGCAAAATGTTTTACTTGGCATCTGAAAATAATATATTCTTTACAGAATTTATAATAACTACCTTAACATTAAGTTATTTGCTTTAACATTCAAAATCAGTTTTAGGTTGTTGATGTTGTGCTTCAAACAAATTGTTGAGGTCAAACAGACAATTTCCCCCTCAATCCTTAGATATTGACCAATATCAAATTACACATTGGATGAAGATGACCGTTAGGTAGGGCATATTCATACCAAGATCATTACAATCGGTTTATCATTTCTTAAGGTATGACAATACTATACCCAATTGCTAAAGAAACGCTTAACTCAAAGAAACGCAAAATTAATGTTTAATACTTTAGCATGATCAATTTTGGTCGTTACTAATAGATTTGTTAAATTCAACATTATAGCTTTAATCACCTACAAAAATATCTTTCTAGCTCATATAGTTTCCAAGATATAACCCTTCAAACTTATCCGGCATGTACGTTTCTTTTGTAGCTGAGTATACCTTATATCCTACATTGTTGGCGACCATTTTGAATATTTACTATTTAGATAAATATGATCCCAAGGATAAAATTAACCATTCCAATAATTTTATCATGTTAGAATAAGTTAGATAAGACACCTCATTTGTTCTCGTAGCCCATCTAGTATTCGAGATATGATATGTTCTGTTTTTCAAGATGGCAGCCGGCAGCCATCTTGGAATTCAAGGTCAGAATTGCTTCTAATGTAAAAAATAATGATTCCAATGGATTTGCCATGTTTATATTAGTGAAATTAGACACCTTATGTGTGTCTGTGGCTGATATTCTTCCAGAGACATACTATTTCATGCTATTCAAAATGGTGTTGACGGCCATTTTGAATTTTACTTTCTGGCAGAGTTAGCCATCATTTTCCAGAGGGTCATGGGGGCTAATTTTTTAGTTTAACGTGTCAGTTAAAAAATCCATCATAAAAAAATGGTAGGAACAAAGTGGTCGCGGATTCCAGGGATAGGACTCCACTGCTGTGTGTCCCCATACCAACAAAACATGTGAGGTTGTAGGGGATTATGTAAGTCCATTATTATCATTATGTGAAGAAAGAAAGAAAAGAGCTTGGGACCATATATTTTTCTAATCCTGAAATCAAATTCATTCAAGTTTCATGGCAAATGAATACTAAATTGGGTCAATGAACAAATTTGACAAAAATCGGTCAAATGCTGTTTTAAAATGTTCAGAAAACATTTATGACAGAAGTTTCACAATCCAAAACCATGTAGAGTGTTTCTTTTTCCAGACTTGATTGAAAAGATCCAGAATGGACATTTTGATATGGCTGAAGCACAAGGGGTGAGTATAAAGTCCTGATTGTGTGAGTTGGTGAGTGGGTGAGTGAGTGAGTTGGTAGTCGGGTGGGTGGGATTTGGGTGAGTGAGTGAGTGGTAGGGTGGGTGAATGAGTGAGTGAGTGAGTGAGAGTGAGTGAAAGGTCACTTTGAACAGTATTCAAGTTGTGGCAAGGCGTGGTGAAACCCACTTGTGTGTGTATGGTACTGACAATACCTAGATACACAATTGGGGCGAACCAGGGTTCGAACCAACGATCATAAGTTTCTGGCTTAGGCAAGGGATGCAACTCTTCACAATGAAATGCAGCGCACCAGACGACTGGGCTTCCCATGCCCTCATGTATTCATAAAAATTGTTAAGTCCAAGTCATATGGGCACTCCTAGCTCTGCTCCAGTGTAAGGAAGAGGAATAACAACTGACTCAACATTTTAACCACTAGGTTACCCCATTGCTCCTCATGTTTTCTGAAATATTACTTGATACTTATGTTGCTCCTATTAATCAATTTCAGTTTGTCAATGAAGGTTCAATTAAGGCTTTGTACAAGACTATTCATATTTATGTAGCCACTTTACTAATGAAGTATTAAGACTTTAATAAACCATAAGGGTTTAATGAACCAGTTTGTTGATAAAGGTTTGTTACAACTGGGTCCACAATTACATATCCTTGGTGGTATTCTTGAGGACTGTTTAGAATCTGTTTAGTTCATGATTGCTGAAGGATCTTAATTTAACTGCCACCTCTCAATTATTTGTACATATTACCCTTGTTGAGGTAGTAAAATATTACCAATAGCTGGCTTCACTGATTTAAGATCAGCTTCTTAGGCGGTACCCCTTGTAACTGGGCATCTCTGATCATGTGACATTGTCAGGCAAGTAACATTTGTGACATTTGGGGACATTTAATGTCATCAGAGTGCAAGGTTTGTCACACGTTATGTATGTCTGCAACTGTAAACTGCACAAGACAAACATGTAAATTTACTGTTCAGTTTATGGTCCAAACTTTTCACTTTGAGGGGCAACTTGCAAAGACTATTGGTTGTGCCATTGACAACAAAGCCACACCCAAATCCTTCAAACAGTACGCAGATCTAATTAAGCCTTTTGTGTTAATGCAAACAATATTTGGCAAACAATATTGGCAGCAACTTTTAAGCATCTGTATGTTCACATTGTCAGTTGTTGATTACACATCCATATTGGGCTAAAGTTCTGTGGCACTATTTGCAAATGACATATGATATAGGCAGGTCTTCTTATTGGTTTAGATTTAACAAATCTCACAACATATGAAGTTAACATTTTGATCAAAGGTGCCATTTCATTCTCCACCTGCTGTTAACCTGAGGGTCCTGTGTATTTATTTTTCATGTTTTTGTTTTCATTTGACAGGTAGCATTGGACTATTTAGGCTATGGGCTAGCCATTGTAGTTGGATTGCTATTTATTGTCATCTTCCCCTTAATTGGTTGCTGCTTCTGCTGTTGTCGCTGCTGTGGCAACTGTGGTGGAAAACGGATCCATAAAGATGACCCAAGCGCTTCATGTAAGAGGAAGATTTTTGGTGTTGTTCTTCTGCTGCTGGTGGTAATGACAAGGTCAGTTTTTCATAAGAATCAATTAAGACAGCGTTAGACTTGGCACTGGTCCAATAGTTCTTGCAAAACTCCCCAATAGTTAAATTATAATAAGGACCAGTTGAAATTTGCTATTTGTTAAGGGTTTTGCTATTTCATTATATCATTATATGGACTAGTGGACTTTGGAGGCCCATAGGGCTTTATAAATAGCAGTGAAATGATGTCCCTTGTCCCTTGTTAACATCAAAGATTTGTATAAAACAGCCATGGAACTTGTTTATGAATAAACACTAGTTCAGTCCAAGAGCCATCAACTAGGCCATTGGGTGTCAAGGGTCTTTTGCAACATTTAAAAAAAAATGTGCAAAGCCAGCTTTCAATCACTCATTGTGACCGATATTATCCTTACCTTATTTATTACTATTATTACTCAGCCATTTTCTTCAAAATGTAATGAAATTTGGTTCATGATTAGTTTGTAGTGGGACTCAACATAATAATATATATTCAATTTTTAAACTTATCCTATTTCACACTATGCATGTCTCTTTCTTCAATACTAATTGGAAAACATGCTTCAACAAAGGTTTCCAGCTTCTAAAAAGCAATTCACCGGAACATAACTCACATCACCCTGGTCCCCCCCCCCCCAACAATCTTGGTCACACACATTCTGTATGCTAACTGACCTACCCAGGCTCAACATGTTATTCCCCAGCCTGCTTATTCTCTTTCAAAGCTGTAAGGACGTCTATGTGCTTACAGGTTAAACGACCTGATTTTTCTAATGTATTTACCTGCAAAATCTTCAGCTACCTTTCGGTGAATTTCCTCATGAACGTACCATAATGGACCATGGATGATCAAGCAGTGTGTAGTCTCGCTTGCTTGACTTGCAGAATAGTGTTTTTGCTGTCCGAACCTACCATCGGATATGTACGTCCGTAAAGTGCTTGCAACTAGATGGGATCCCTCCGAAAGTAATCGCTTTAACATTGGCCTCTGTCACCTTGCTTTTGATGAACCACGCCACGCCACGCCACGCCACGCCACGCCATGCCACGCCACAAGGGCCACGCCAGCTGTTAAAAACTCGAAGCTTATGTCATAAGAGGGTGTTAATACAATCCTACCTCCTATGGGACCCCTCTACAGGCATTTTGTCTTCTCTTGATCACTAATCTGACTTGTCGACCTCGTATTCCAATGACGGTTATAATGAAGATCGGCAATCCTCCGAACAGGTTTGATCAACGAAACAGCATTCAACGGGAAAGCTTTGCAGTGCATGCTTCGTAGTTGTATCAAGCTTCAGAGGTTAGGCATCGGCATTCCACGATTTAGTGAACCTACCAGATTCATGCTTCAAAGAGTCTTCATTCATCATTGGACCCACACACTTCTAAGGTTTGTCGAACCTCTTGGGATCAGCAACATCTGCGGATTGACACGTATCAAGCACTTAGTCTTCGACCAAGGTTCAGCCAACCTCTCTGGATCCTCGAAGTTTGGATCTAAGGATTGGCAAACATCCCGAAAGCGACTTTCACAGGATTGGCATGATTCTAAGGACGTATGTTGCCTAAGGTTTGTCAAACCTGCATCATAGGATACTGATCTTAAGATTGCCATCAGGAGCTTGATCATCTACTCATTGTTCCTCACCCAACGACATTTCTGAATCTTCTCTTGATTCTGGGGATGGACACTATGAGTTGATCATAGGGTAGATCATCTCATTTGGCTCCTTCTTCCTCTTCCAGTTATCCGGACTCTCACTTACGGGATCGATCGCGTTCTTACGACTATCATTATCTGCACCGTGATTTAACTTGGAACCTGGCTTTGTTTCCTGCTTATGTTCATACTACTCACAATTGGGATCGCTATCCTCAGCTTATGGACATCCTTCCACCTTGGCAAGGATACTCTTATGATCCTTCCTTTCCGGACTACCGTTCTCAACCACTGTCGCTGCTCTACCACTGTGAGCAGATGTCCCTTGCCTAAAGACACACCTGACGACTGCACCACAATGACTTTACAGCATTCTCCATCTTCAATTCCTACTTCGCTGAATCCTATTAATGTAACTACACAGCTTCAGTCGCTTTTTCAAGCGATAATGTCAGCGGTCTTCCCACATGACTCACCCACCAGATATTATGGCTACTACTCCGGAACATGCATCCTACCATGACATCGACAGCTACTTCGGTTTCGTTTCCCGAACCAGTACAGCATGAAGATCTTCTCGATTGCCATTCTTTACCCGCCTCTTCTTCCTGTAGCTTTTTGATACAGAGGATCAGACTATGGTTCTCAACAGGGTTGCAGATAAGCTCCAGCTCCAGAAAAGTACTTGTACTGAGACACTTTGCCGTCCTCAGTTGTACCTTCAGTAATCTGACCGAATATTACCGTCTTGTGTGTCTGCCATGTGCATTGATGACTGCCGTGCAATGTCGATACATGGAATGGATGAGGCGGTTGATGAAGGCCATAGGCACTTCAGCCCATACTCTGAGGAGCGCCTGACGTCTTTGAATCTCGTCGGTTAGGTGCTCTATGGGATATAAATCGGGACTGAGGGCAGTCCACTGCATTGTTCTGATGCCATTCTGCTGGAGGAAGTCTCTTGTTGCTCGCTCAATGTGGGCACGGGCATAATCATGCTGAAACTCGTGGTTGCGGTGACGTGCCAAATGAGGTATGGCGTGTGGTCTCAAGACTTGATCAATGGACCAAGCTGCTGTGACACCATTGCCTCTCCCTGGACATATGTTCTGGAAGACCACAGGGCCAACCCTCTGTGCAAGACCAATTCCACCCCACACCATGATGCTTGGACCACCCCACGAGTCTCTCTCAACAATATAAGCATCCGAATAACGATCCCCACGGTGTTGCAGGACTCTCTCTCTTCTCTCTCTGCCATTTGGTGTTGAGATACAGTAACGGCTCTCGTCTGAGAAGAGGACTCTTCTCCGGTGCTATGTTGCCCTCTGAAGACAGAAGAGGATGACATGGTGTCAGAATGGGTCCTCGGTGTGGCCTGTGACAGTGGAGGTGTCTGCTCGTCAATTGTTGACGCACGGTGTCTGCACTAATGTGTCCCTGGTGTGTCCCCATGGTCTGTCAAGCAGTTTCTGCAGCAGTAACAAGGCGATTTTAAAGATGCTGTCGCACAATCTGACGATCCTGACGTTGAGTGGTGACCCTTGGTCTTCCACTACGTGGTCGGTCATCTGTAGTGTTGATGGTCTGGTACCGTTGCTGGAACCTGTATATGGTCCTTATCTGGACATGAAATACATTGGCTACTTGCCAGGCGGTTTGTCCAGCTTGCAATTGTAAAAGGGCTTGGTGTCGCTGATTTCTTGTCAATCTTGGCATGTGGTAGCAATTCAATAACGAATGAATGTTATCCGATCTGGTCGGACTTTTATAGGGCAAGAAATGGGGTAACGCATGTGCATTTCAATTTGCGCAGAACTCACACAAAACTCAAGTTTCCGTTTCCGGAAAAGGTAATGTTAAATTTTAGAAACTTTGACCAGATATTTAAATTACAACTTTTCATGCAATGTTACTTTGGGTGACGTTTCTTTTGCGGTTATGTATACTAGCCACATAAAGAAACTGTGCACGGAGAAAATATATTCTGGATTGAAATACAACCCAGCAAGAACAAAATGATGCAGACGCTGTAGCAGCTGAATAATCGGACCATAAGAAAATGTCAACGGGACCTGAAAAACATCTGTTACGATGATGTCAGAACATCAAAATGGAGTAGGGGGTCATACGACAAAGTCACAAAGTCAATAACGGGTATGACCACCCTGTGCGTGAATCACAGCAGTGCATGGGCGACGCATGGAGTCCACCAAATGGGCATGGAAGGCCTGGGGAATGGCCTGCCATATCCTCCTCAAATCCTGTGCCAAGTCACGGACGTTATCTGGAGGATGTGGAAGACGACGCAGACGGCGCTCCATTTCATCCCACACATGCTCTATTGGGGAGAGATCTGGAGAAACTGCAGGCCATGGCAGTAACATGACATTGTTATGGTGAAGGAAATCCATTGCGACCCTAGCCGTGTGAGGATGAGCGTAGTCCTGTTGAAATGTCAATCCCGGGCCATGACGTTGCAGGAAAGGAATGACCACAGGCCTCAGAATCTGATCTCTGTAGCCAACACCGGTGAGATTGCCCTGAACAACCACCAAAGGGGTTAGGTGCCGTGCTGTTATCCCACCCCAAATCATCACAGAGCCACATCCAAAACGATTCCTCTTCACAATACAGTTGCGTGCATAACGTTCTCCCAAACGCCGGTAGACACGTTGGCGCCCGTCACTGTGGGAAATGTTGAACTTCGATTCATCTGTAAAGACAACATTTCTCCACCATATTCGAGGTTGGCGAACATGATTTCGACACCATCTTAGACGGTTGACTCGATGACGGTGTGTCAGGATGGGACGTATGGCAGGGCGTCGTGGTCGAATCCCGTACTGACGTAAACGATTCCTGACAGTGTTGGGATGGATATGGTGCAGTCCAGGAATTGTCTGGGACGTCATTACTGCCGTTTGGAACCTGTGTCGTGGGCGTGTAACTCGAATCCATCTGTCCTGTCTTGGCGTCGTTACTCGGGGACGTCCTGAACGTGGGTGGTTGGCAACGTCATTTGTGTTCTGATAACGCCTCACCAATGCCGATATCCTGTTACGATGGCATTGGAAATGTGTTGCCACCTGTTGTTGCCTCATTCCCGCTCGGATCATTCCAATGGCTTCATGACGCTGTGCAGCTGTCAATCTTGGCATGATTTGCTTGTGATATGCTTGTGTCTGCGCCTGAGAAGTTTTTAATTTTTGAATGACCACAGATCATGCTTTCCAAAGAGACAGCGAATTTTGAGTTGCACATGCTGTGTACAGCTGCACAGGATGCACGTGCAGTAAAACATTGCACGTCCATAGGCCCCTATCAATGACGTCATATCG